AAAAATAAAAACAAAAAACAAACAAAACAACAAACAAACAATAAAACACCCCCGTTCACCATAGAAATAAGAATAGAAATTTTAAAACATAAAAAAAATTAAATCTTCATATTCCAAAAAACAAAAAAATTAAAAATAGATCAATCAAAATTCAACCCTTCGCTCAAAAAAAAAAAATGAAGATAAAAATAGATCTATAGTTTATTTAAATGATGTTCTTCTTCTTCTTCTTCTTCTTCTTCTTCTTCTTCTTCTTCTTCTTCTTCTTCTTCTTCTTCTTCTTCTTCTTCTTCTTCTTCTTCTATTATTATTAATAAGATTATTATTTCAGCTGTTCAGGAACTGTAGTCAGCTGTTGGCGCCACATACAGGTGGGATGGTCACCCCGGGTGTGTGTGACGCCGGTTGTGACCAGAACTTCCTCATCTACGTCGTACTTCACGGCGCTCAGAACCTCATAGAGAACCTGTCCAACATACCCAGGTCTTTGCTCATCCTCAGGTACATTCTTGAATTTATTTTTTTTAAGTTTCTTTTTCGGTTTTCTAATGTTATGTATTAATTTAGTTTGATTACATTTTTTTTGTTTTTCTGTCTTTCTTCCATTCCTTTTTTTCTCGTTTGTACTTTCTTTCTTTCTTTCTTTCCTTCTTCCTTTCTTTCTTTCTTTCTTTCTTTCTTTTCAATCTTTCAATCTTTCTTTCTTTCTTTCTTTCATTACTTCACTTATTAATTTAATGGTTTCTTTAAAAAAAAAAATTTGTTGTTGTTAGTATTCTTTTGAAAATATATCAATTACAAGGCAGAAGTGTTTTATTACTCAAATGGGCAGTGGAGCCATTTTTATAGAAAACTTGAAATTCAAAGTCCAAAGAAGGGCAAGTTTTGACATTAACTGTATCCGTGCGTCATGTTTTATAATCGTATCAATACGACGTGGGGAACTCTGTGCCACCACTTTCCAAAGAGGAAATTTACTCGTTAATCCGATCCGTACGCTGGGTTTAGCAGTCTGTCAAAATGATTTTGATTTTTAGAAATACTGAAAGTGTCAAAGAGATCTTCGTACTGGATGTGTTCTAAAATGTGAAGAATACAACTCCAGGGGTACGAAATGATCCCAGGACGCACGGATAGGGTAAATAATCATTGCTGCCTGAAGACCAGCAGGGCTCCGGCGCCGACAAACGTTACGAAAGCCTGAAAAGCCAATTCATTCAATTAGAAATCTAAGGCGGCCATGATATATATTTAATTCATATAATATACTATTCTCAAGCCCAGTAAAAGGTAGTGACGAATTATATTGTTGGATCGTATTGGTTTTTGGTAATCGGTGATCTACTTGCATTGATATCGTCAAAAGTGCACGGTTTTGATAGGTTTTTTTTTCGCAAAAAGTGCACGGCTCGAACATTCTCCTCATAACTCATGCAACAAATCGTTAATACCATACTGATATAAGCTGATATTTTCTCATTTTTTGGTTTAAGATCATAATCTATCATACTTGTGAAATTAGAATTTGTAGTCACCGAACACAACAAAAATCCAACACCATCTTTATGGACCAGGAGAACGCTTTTGACAGAGTAAACCATGCAAAACTCTGGAAGACACTCGAAAAGTATGGCGTCAAAGGACAGCTGTTAGGTAATGCCAGAGCTCTATATACCAACAACAGGAGCTCAGTAACAACGTCGGAAGGCAATACAGACTGGTTCAAAGTAAGATCTGGAGTACGACAGGGATACGTTCTATCTTCCCTCCTGTTTATAATATATGAATACAATAACGCAGGACGCAAGCCAAAGCCCAGAAAACCTAAATTAACTTATATTCGCAGATGACCATTGTCTCCTTCATCCAAACCAATAAAGCCTCCAAAATCACACTTCGGAACTTAACAACTTCCACATGAAATTTAACATAACAATAATTACATCAAAAACAGAAGTTATAAAGGTGAGCCAAAACTATAGTCCCGTGGACATCCATGTTAATAGAAAACAAACTGAAACAGGTGATTGAATTTAAATATCTTAGCTGTGTTCTTTCTGAAAACGGGTCCATTGACACAGAAAAAGCAAACGCTGTCACTTACCAGTTCGCACCCCTCCTATCTCATCCAAACATCTCCATGGACACAAAAAGATAGCTTATCACTTCAATAATCATACCAACATTATGCCAGACCTGTACATTGAGTAAAAACCCATAAAAGCAAAATCACTGCACGCGAAATGAAATGTCTCCGCAAAACCCTTAGCATGACAAGACGAGACTGGCAGAGAAATGAAGAAGTATGAAATGCTATTGACACTGAGTCCTGCCTGCATTTCATAGAAAGACGGAGAATAAAATGGTTTAGCCATCTGTTACGTAAGTCACCTAGCCCG